TTACAAAATTTGAGTTTCAGGTAGTTTTCACCTTGCTGAACAACAATCACTTAATTTACAAGGGTAATATACTTAAAACTAAAATGTTAAAATTGCACTCTAAATCTTTATATATTTTTAAAATACTGCAATTTTTGATTTTTTTACATTTTGCACAAAAACTGCCTGAATAATCACTATTATAAACTTTTTTTACTCATAAAATTACATATATCCTCACTTTTAAAATTACATATTTCTTTATATTTTGAAAAGGATCTTGAAAAAAATGTGTTTTTAAAATAAATTTTTGGTACGTTATAAAAAAAATATTACTATTAAAAATTGAAAAAAAAAATAAAAATTAATAAAATAGAACTTCACTTACTTATAAGATAAGTCACCCCTAGACCTAAAGTAAAAATTATATATAAAATATTAAAATTTTTTGCAAATTCTACTATAAAAGAAAATTTTATGTTACATTATTATGTTTTTTTTTTCTTTTTAACTAATTAACCAATAGAATTTAAGAAAAAAGTAAAGTAAAAATTATTAGTAAAGGGCCAATTTTCTATAGTGATCTTTATTATAAGTAAGTGAATTATAATACCGTAAAATACTGAATTTAAGCATCTATCAAATTTAAGCACTTCTATATATCACTTTGCCGCAATATTTGCATAAACTAAAATTAAGCATCTCCAAATTTAAGTACTCCAATATAAAAATTCAAATTAATAATATATGTGAAAAAATTTTATTTTTTTTTTATAATTTTTATTCAATTTTTAATACCAAAAATTACATTATTTAATTATCAACAATTTCATCATTATCATCTAATTCCTCTAAATTTTCTTTTTCATACTCTTCAATTAATTTGTCAATTTTTTCATAAACCATATCATCTTCTGACCCATCTAACAAATTTGAAATAGCACATTTTTTAAATGAATTAAAAATAATTTGGTCAGAAATAGCATCCCATAAACGTTTAATCCAGCTGCATACATCACTGATCTTTACTCTTTTCAAATTACCTGTAGTTAAGCCAGCACTAGCTTTACACATCCACTCATGCCATTCCTTTCATAAATTATCTTTAAATGGTTTATTAATTGATACATTAAGTGGTTGATATATACTAGTCAAACCTGCAGGAATAACAGCTAATTGAAAATTGTGTTGTTTAAATTTAGTTTTAACACTTTCCTCCAAATGGTCACGAAATGAATCATATACCATCATAGCTGGCTCTTTTGACAAATTTTCAGACATCCGAAATTTAAACAAAAAATCTATATAATTTTTCATTAAATCAGATATCATTCAACCATTATCCTGAAATCAGCAAATAACACCTTTTAGAATAACTTCACCACAAGGGAGTTGTTTGCCTTTGAAAATACAAATAGGTGGATATTTTATTTCATCTATAAAAAATAATAATAATAGATTAGTTAAATAAATGTATTATAAAAAAAGAAAATAAAAATAAAAGCTTCTTACCAGCTAAACAAGTTAAACCTACAGTAAAATGATTTTTATCATTTCCAGTAGTACGAATATGTACTGTTTTATCTCCCTTATTATTGACAGTTATATTACCTGCCATATCAAACCAAACAGGAGTTTTATCCATATTGTAAATGCTATTTAAATCAAAATTGTATTTTGTTCTCAATCTTATGACAAATCTTCTAAATTCTTCCAATTTTTGTTCTGTATCTTCTGGTAATTTTTGAGAAATTTAGTTCTTCTTCTTAATGATAAGTTATATTTTTTCATAAAACGATTAATCCAAGTAAGATTTCCTTGAAATTCATACTCTCCTGTTGGTGAATATAATGTTTGAATTGAAGATTCTTTAAGAATTTTACACATCTGTAATCTAACAGAAGTAAAATTAACAGCAAACCCTTTTTTTCGTTGTTCAATAATCCAGTTGTATAGTGGATGACATCCAATAAAATTGGTGATCTTTAATTACTAATAAAAAAATATTGAGAAATTATTTTTAAAAAAAACTTAACGCTAATTAATACTTCTTGACAAATTCTATTTAACTATATTAAGATAATTAAAATCAGATTATTGTATCAAAAGTTATAAGCTTTTAAAAATATGGAATTTTATATATCTGATTTCAATTTGGCCTTAGTCTGCATTATAATATTTTAGCCAAAATTACATGTATATCCAATTTGATTTTGGCCCGCATTATAAATTTAGCCAGAATTATATATACTGTATATACATGAAACTGAAATTAGTTAATTTTGACCTCTGAAATAGTCGAAATGGTTGAAATGATTTTGACTTGAGCCCCTCCAAAAGTCGAAATGGTCAAAATTACGTCATAGTCATATGATTTTATAGTAAACAATAATATTAAAATTCAAAGTTAACGAACTCCGCATCCAGTAATTCGAGATGTGTATAAGAGACAGAACCATCCCTTTGACAATAATATTTGAGTAATTTTTATGCATGAAGCAATTTTTACTGAATAATGAATATTTAAGACACGGTAGGTGTCAGATTTTAGCGTTTATNATTTTATAGTAAACAATAATATTAAAATTCAAAGTTAACGAACTCCGCATCCAGTAATTCGATTTTTATGATCTTTACGCGGTTGGATTAAGCTCATCGAGAGGATTCCAATGATATATATTTCATATCTGTAGCATCAATATTGACAGAGATATTCACGTTTAAAATTTTATATTAAATTATAATTATAAAAATCACATGACTATGATGTAATTTCAACCATTTCGACTTTAATTTCGACTTTTGACCTTCCTAAGTTGAAATATTTCTACTTTTAAGCTTTAATTTTGACTTCATATATAATACTGTATATATATGACAAATACTTAATCATGATTGGTTGAAATATAAGGTCATGTGATTAATATACTAGTCATATGATATATTATATACAAAAATAAAATTTGGCCCTTCAAATAAAAAGTGGATGTCTTATGCTATCACCCACCGTATAAAATTTTCTCTGCTTTAGGGTAAAAAGCTTTTCTTTCTGGAGTTCTAATGTGTTTTTTCTTTTTATTTTCTTCCTCCCATTTATCACTCTGTTTTATCCATTTTTCTATCATTAGAACGTTTAAACTAAAATATTTTACCACAATATTTCTTCCATTTTCTTGAGCATACTTAACTATTATCAATTTTTCTTCAAGTGAATAAGAGGTTCGTTACTTTACTCCTACTTTTTTTTGAGTCATTTTTTATAAAAGTGTTTTGTTTTTAGCATGAACATGAAAATTTTTTTTTTAAAAAAAAATAGGGGAAAACTTCAAAAAAATTTGATCAGATTATCAAAACCGAAATTAAGCATCACTACCAATTTTAGCGATCACATGACTGTAAAAAAAGGTTCTTAAATTCAGTATTTTATGGTAAAATACATGATAATCTATTAATTTTTTAACTTATATAAATATAATATATTGCATTTAATTATAAAATAAAATAATATGATTTGCTTAATATTACACAAAATAATTTTAATATAAAAATATCTGCATATAACATTTCCAGTAACTGTTATTAATCATTTTTATATATTACATATAGAAATCTCACTTTCATATTAAATATCAAAATATTAACAATATATTTCAACAAATAATATCAAAAATCTGCTGATTTAGAATTGAATTTGATACAATTTCAACTTACGATTAAAAATGCTAATCCTGAATTAAAAGGATTATTTCCTTCAATGGTTAATGCTATTATTCCTAAAAACTAATCAGAATATAATAGACAGGAAGCTAAAAAATCAATTGTTGCTCTATACTATATAATTGCTAGTTTGCATAACAAATTCATTAACCAATTCAAGACAGAAGTTGTATTGTATTTAGTAGCATCAGGTATACTACATATGTAAGAAGCTAGTATTGATACAATATCAAGTATTAGATATCATATGGGCTAATTTTTGAAATCTAATTTTTTTACACAAAAATAATTTTATTTATTTATTTATTTTTTATTTATAGTATGACTGGTCAAAACTTTATGTTTACATTGTGTCTGTACTAGTTTTTAGGGAGGATAGTAGTTGAACGGAGTTCAGAGGTATTAAGGAGATGAAATAAAAAATTAATTTTATCCTAGGAGTCAGGTTTTTAGAGCGAGGTTAATAGAACGTCTTAAGTGTATGTTACTATAGTAGGTCTCAAATCCAGGTTAAAACTTATATAGAAACTAGTTGGTTAGTATTTGTTAGTTTAGAATCAGGTACCTGCAACTATTATTATAAAATTTTGTATATTTGTATTGTTCGTTACAAATTTAATCGCTAATAAAAAATAAAAAATAAAAAGATTATAACGATTTTATAGTGATTTTAGTGATTTTAGCAATTTCACTGTTTTTTATTGATTTATAGTGATTTATAACAGTTTATAACAACTATATTATAATAAAATATCAGATTCATTTTTATTTGATTACAAGCATATCAGGATTTATATAGGGTCATATCTCGGGCTAAGCTAATTTTATATTTACATGCATATGCACAGCGCCGGCTAAATCAGTTTGTACTGTAAATCGTATCACATGAGATCTCTGGGAGAGTTCCAGGAGCTCTATAAATCACGAGATGATCGCATTATATGTAATAATCATTTTATAAATAAGCGATTAGCATAAAAATTAATTTTCTTTATGATCGGTTCTTATTACATCATCAGGAAAATCTGTCCAAAAAATAATACAGCCGGCTAATCATATGATAATGTGAAAACTCTTCTTACTTCCAACCAATAGAAGCAGGATCTAATGGTTAATTATAACTTAATTTCAATGGCGATATCGTACTGCGCATTTCAGGTGATCGATCTCACATGATAGGCCTATGCTCAACCTATAGTATCTTGGGGCAACAACTTCGTTAATTCAGAATCATGCACATATTTATATGAATGGTTACACACCACACACTGCATATAGTTAAAAACCCAAACTTTATTTTCACAAATTGCTGTTTGCACGAATTACAAAAATAAAAATTCGTTGACAATATAAAGTAAACTATATTGATTCGGCCAAACTCGCTTTATTTAAGTAGGTTTATGGAGTTTAAGTTTTAGAATGAGAAGGTGAATGGAGTTTAGCATGATTTCTACCGCGAATGCCACATGATTTAGAACAAACCCGTTGACAACCCCGTTGAATGATTTTCTCATTAGAATCACTCTTAAAAATCCATAGTGCTTCGATAACCTTATCAAAGATATCCGTCGAATCAGCTAAAGGAATTGTTATATTTTTTCTTCCATTAGTATATTCGATGCCAGGTTTTATAAAATCTTCTTCATTAATAGTGCATATGCCGAAGATACGTGTTAAATCAAGTTCATTTAACTTTTGTGAAAATTCTTCAAGGAACGATTGAATATCGGGAGAAGAGAATTCTATTTTCTTTAGGTATAATAAACATATTAGAGACTAAATAAGATATTATGAGTTTACAATAGTAGCTATTACCAAATCTTTGTTTTTAGGCCGAAATTCATAGGGGACATAAGAATTATTAATGATTCTCCAATTGAATCCTTGAGCTGGCGAAGCCAATTTGTCAACCTTAACTGGTTGGCTAACGATTTCTTGTTGAGAGTCAAACAAAGAACCGGTTTCGAGTAAAATTTCACCTTCTTCAAGAGAGAAGTGGTTATGCAAAAGGGTAAGGCCAAAAATACGTTCTACATGGTAGGCTACGAAGAGGTGTCCTAAAGTTTTAAAGGTCTCTTCAGTAACTTGTTCGTTTTTTGCTTCATCAGCGTCCCAAAGATTGGGCAATTCATTAAACCTAGCTACAGTATCAAAACTTGGTTCGGTACAGATCATATTTAATTTGTATTAAATTTAATCAGCTTTGGCGAGCTGGGAGAAACATAGTGTTTACATGGCTTTTTTATATTAAATTTCAGTGCTCTCAAGCTGATTATCTGAATGCAATTCGTTTCATAAAGGTTACAAATCAAAAAATGTTTTTGGTAAGAACGGACAAATGAACCTTCTGATACGGCAATATCAACACTACAGTTTTACAAGCCCGCCGTCTTCTCATTCATTAAAATTGCTTCACAGTTTGATTACTACAATGGAGTTTCTATCATATCCGCAAATGAGATGAGCTTCTATATCCGTAAATGATATCAACGATATCTGCAAATGAAATCCGTAAATGAAATCTATCAAATGTACACAAGCATCACGTCCAGTTCTGAATAATATATTTTTTCGCACACGCATTGTGGACTTCTGTATGGCATGTGAAATATGCGAGCGATGAAAAAATAAAGTGCAAGATTAATCCATTACAAGGGCCGGCCAGTTAAGTAAAAATGAAAATAAAAAACAATAGAGTATCAAGAGAGGAAAGACATAGAAGAACATGCCTGCTCGTTAGGCCTGCCAAGCCCTATCCGCTACCATCTAAACCAATATTACCTGAATGTAAATATGATTACAAGATACAATATCTCAAATGAAGGTATAAAACGGGAATCATTTTAGTTGTTCGATTGTTACACGCATAATGTATTTCTCTCAAATGAAAGTATAAATCGGGAATCATTTATCATGACTTAATAATCACATGTATAGATTTATATCTACATTTGCAAAACGCACACATTTTAAAAATCAATCAAAACATTCTTTATTGCAATGTAATACATGAGAAAGGGCCGGCCGGCTATGTAAAAAAAAATGAAACTAATAAAGATATTGGAGTAGCAGGTTGTTTCAAGGGAGGAATTTTGCCGAGCCCCAACCCATATAATGGCAGTTCCTTCCCCACTACTCCGCATTATTATTAAAACTAGCTACCCACCCTCCTAGTAGCATCATCCTGACCCCTTTTATTGTAAAGTGGGTCAAGTCAGACCCATTGCACAGGTCAAGAACAATACATTTGCTGATTTATGTTACTCATACATTAGTACTCTTTAAGAATAATACTTTTGTAATATTCAAAATAATAGTTAAGTATTTTATTAATTAATATTTGATATTTTTTTATGAATAAATTGATATATTTTTATAAGAATAATAATAGTTAATGGGAATTTAATATTTTAAAATATTAAAACAATAAATTATTTATAATAATATAATATAAAAATCAGTACATGAAATTTATTTAAAAAATCTATATATATCAGATATCTATATAAATACATAAAATTATATTCACATAAAATCTAAAAATAGTATATCTGATATGTTATGTATAGTTTATAGATTTTTTTACACAAATCTACATAAAAAACATCTAATGTACATTTTTACATGCAAATGCTAAATGCAACAAAATTAAATTTTTATCAGATGAATTGTTCTTTGATTAACAAAGTTAATTAAAATTACAGTAACTTGAGTATATAAACAACTGAACTTTTTATTACTAGCTATTGTTGTAAATTAAACATTGTAATCGGAGATCGGAGTTTTTTTGTGAGGAAGTGCATGCTAGTGTTTCGGGCGAAACTAAAACTAAATTTTTGATGAAACTTCCAAAACCTGAGTGTTTACGATATTGTTTCATTTGATGCATTAATAATTCTTTACGTTCAGCTTTTTTTTCCTAAATTTCATCTGCTAGTAAATTTCTTAAAGTCAGCAAATTTTTGAGATATTTTATTTGGTAAAAATAATTTTACAATAATATTTTTTTAAAAAAATAAAAATATGATTTACACGTTAAATAATTCATATTATGTAATAATTTTTTTTTTTTATTTTTTAATTAATAACTATTTTATCTATTACTATAATCATTAGAAAATACATAATTCTAATTATGTAATTCACTATTAAATACTAAATTATTAATAAATAAATTGTAATTTTAATTATTCGTTATAATATACTCTGTTTTTTTAAAAAAAACCTATTGTAACACTGATGGCGAAAATTTGATAGGTAATTTTTTAATTGTCCAAGTTTTGCAAGTCCAAGAAAACAATCAGTAAGGGTGCAAAACTGAGATTGTATAATAACTTGTATGGATGCGGTATACAAGTGACCCGTCCAATGTTTTGATAATTTTTTTTTTTATTTCATTTTATTTTATGGAATCTTATTTTAAAACTTCAGTTATTATTACACGAGAAAAAAAAAATCGCAGTAATATAAGGAGTTATGATAATTTATATATATATATAACTATAAATGATTATGTTTCAGAAAATATTATCATCCTAAAGGGAATTTATAACAATAGAAAAAAGATAAAAAGAAAAAAAAAAAATTCTTTTTCTTTTCTCCTCGTTTCTAATCTTTCTCCGTTATTTTACCATTGTCTTTACAATCGCATATAATTTTTTTAACATTGTTCTTTATCAAATTATTAACTATTAAATAAAGCTTAATTTAAACTCGTTTCAAATTAAATTAGGGATCACAGAATATATGTTCGGTTTATTTGTGTTTCCTCTCAAGCTTGTTTTCTTTAAATTCGAACATTAAACTTCTAAATATGTCGTATAGGCAATTAAATTGACCAATTTGGCTACATTATAAATAGAGCCGTAGTAAAACTCCATTAAAAAATCAAACAGCATTGCTTGATAATTTCTAAAATTATTATAAGTATTATACAATTTAACTTTATTAATAAGAAATTATTATTGATTTTCTTAAATTGAACGTATATTGTGAAGTTCAATACTTTATGCCATCAAAAATTATTTTTTGAAAATTATATTATTGGTTAAATAAAATAAATCGTAGTTTAATCGGTAAATCGAATTCTTAAATATAAAATGTATAAATTGTTGTTTGTTACTATCAAAATATTCTCTTTTTATTTGTTTTTGTCCAACAATTCTTGCTATCGCAAAATCTTAGTGTAATATGTCGTCAATCCTGTCATATTATTAGTTCATTTGTCGTTGTACGATCTGCATCATTTGTCAAAGTTATTGTACAAAAAAACTGAATTCAGGAACAATGAATAAACATATAAAGAATTTAAATGATTAGGAACATGATTATTTATCTTATTTTATATAACGGGTATACTCCCTTTCTAAATTTTCGTTTCATTTTTTTATTTGTGTAAAACCTTGGATAATTAGTTTATATTACCCACAGGCATAAAAAATTATTAAGTTTAATTTTGATAGTGTGATAAGGAATTTTTTATTGTAGTAAATATTTACTGTATATCACATCAGTCTTTCTATGTTCCCTTTTGAAACATTAACCTTTCATTGGTTCGTCCCGTGAATATTCTATTTCGACTCAGGATCAACTCAGAAGAATCAACTCATAAGAATCAACTCATAAGAATCAACTCATAAGAATCAACTCATATCAACTCAGGTTTTTTGCAGTCTGATTAACTGATAGATTGAAAATACGGACCGCGTCGCTTATTACACAGCATCCCCTTATGGCTTTGATTGTTCTCAACCAGTTTATTTATTGATTTATGGCTGAAAATGGTTTGATTAGGGGTCAATTGTTTACTCTATTTTGTAATACAAAGAGATTGCGAAGTAAAATTGGGAGAAAAATTCACAACTAAGAATTCTTGAATTAACCCTAAAAAAGATTCTTCGATAAATGATCATTTTTCTAGTTTTTTATTCCCGAAGAAATCATTTTTCTTGAAAATTTTTTATAGGGTTACCTGTTAGAGGCTTTTCTGCTTCTGAGAAAAATAAAAAGCCGACCATATGATAATGTCAATGCGTGAATATCAATCAACAAGAAATAAAAAAGGCTGAAAATTCTAAATTATTCAAAAACAACTTATGGACTTGTCGTGACCGGTTCAACCAGATGTTTTTCATATGGCTCACTTGATGATCGGAAAGTCGATCATTTTGGCTAAAATGATCGACTTTCCGATCATCAAGTGAGTCAAATCCGATATGTATTTTCCCGGATATCCTGATGATTGCAGGAATCCGGATAATAAAATTTAAATTTAAATCCACCATTATAGTAGTGGTGCAACAATTACGATATTCGGATAACGGTTCTATCCGGATCGAAATACAATAATATGGACTCAATTTTTATTAAAATTGTGCAATCTATTGAATTTTTTATTAATATAATTCCTTACGATAATATACTTCGTTTTTTTAAGTCATCTTTTGAGTGAAAGTGGAAAATTTATAGTAGGTTAAAAAAAGTTGCATACGCGTCTACTTGTTACAGTATACGAACCTTTGTATGTCACGTATGATGATCTTTTTCTTTGTACGTATGGTTGTATTTTTTTACTATACGTACATACGTATTCAATAAAATACGATCTAACAATCACGTGACCATACATTTACAATGTGAAAGATCGAGAATATCTTGTGAGAACATCACTAAATCTAGTCACCAATTAAAAAGAATTTACGTGACTTTTTAGCTTTGGAAGTTGCAGAAATTTCTCCAGGTTTCTGAATGAAACGAAGAAACGAAGTATATTACTAGTGTAACATATTTACATAATACTTCTACAGAATCAAAAAAAAATGACAAACTATGCAACTATGTGAAATTGAAGGTTATCTTTGCACTAGGGAATTCATTCATATCGTCAGATGATACCAAGGGACGACGGTATCACATGACTAGAAAATAGTTTTTCATGAAATCCACATGACCACTCTCTTGTATCTATGTTTGTAAAAGAAATTGACAAGAAGCATGAAATTTTTGTACCACTGAAAATCATTGTTGTTAGCTTTATATATCATGAATTATACATTTTACATATTGACTTTTTTGTTAATTCAAAACTGTCTGATCTTAAATTTGTACAATTATTACTATCAAAAAAATTGAACACATTTATTGGCCGTATGTAACTCGGGTGTACCGAAACCTTAATCCATTTTAATCCTTTTTCTGTAACAACAATTTTAAATAAGAATATGACCGCAGTCAAAGTCTAAAATATTTGTCACACGAGCATTCTGTGTCTAAAACTAATTCTAAAAACAATATAATATGAAACATTTTTATGTCACAAAAAAAAGTTCTCGAATATTACGCATTATATGATCATTTTTTTGAAAATGTAAAAGTTTCATTTCTTTAAAAGGGAATGAAGAAAATGAAAAAGTTATTCAATGCACAAGTTTCAAACTAAATATTATAATGTAAAGCATTTTATCAAATGAGAAAATGAATGATCTAATCACATACTGTATGATGATAAAAATAGTAGTCGGGATCTTTTGATTTATGCATGATAAAATTTTAACAATTGATTTTGATACAGCTTTGATTTCCCAAACCAAGTTTATTGATTTTGATACAATACACCTAACGGCCGACTCGGATTTTGCCAACATAAATCGGAAATCGGAACATAGCAAATGTCTATAATAACCATCAAACCTGAAGCCCCTACTATAAAAAATTTATATTAGGCAATAAGAACTTTTTTTATATATAACATGGATGTATCTTTTTGGTTTTGACATTATACTTTTTTTCATTCTATTTAATCGTTTATACATACTATTCATTCATACAATAATAATCACTCATACTATTTATTCTTCTCTTTTCAGTCTATTTAATCGGTTATACATACTATTCATTCATACAATAATAATCATTCATACTATTTATTCTTCTCTTCATCATACTCATAGCTATGGTTCAACTTTACGCAGATGTTCTTTTAATGATTATGCTCGAATTACAAGATGATATTTCATCTTTACATTCTTGCGTCCTTGTTAACAAATCCTGGTCTCGGATCGCCGTATTTTTCCTATGGAAATATATCTCTCGTATCAATGAAATTACCTATAGTCGTGACAGGGATTCACGTGTAAAGTTATATAAAGTAATAGCCAATTTTTTACCGATCGAATCAGAAAACCTTTTGATTAATAATAATATTATATTGCCTTCATATAAATTACCAAGAAAGCCAACATTTGAATAAATGAATTATTTTACTCAAATCACACCATATTGGATTCGAGATATGGTGCAACTTTTTATTAAAGAAGATTCCACTCATAAAAAAAATTTATTAGAAACCCAAATTTACAATTTAATTTTTGTAAATTGTAAAAACATAAACCATTTTCATTTAAATACTGATATAGAATTCTACAAATTTCCAAGTGTGGGGTCATTTTTTTTAAATTTACAATCTCTTTTAATTAATTTTGATAATAATAATATGGTAACTTCAAAAACATTATTTGAACTTGCCACTATTTGCCAAAATATAAAAACTTTAGAGGTATTTTATTGAAATGAGGATTCTAAAGGTTTAGCTTTATTTATTGAAATGCAGCATAATCTGCGGTCCTTATTTTTAAATTTTATTGACAATAAAAACAAATACCCACTATTAAGTAATGTGGTGAAGAAAAAGGCTGCCACGTTAAAAACATTAATGACAACACCGCTTATCGATCCCGGTTCATTTTTAAGTTTAATAAATCTACAACATTTGGAGCTTATTAATCATGATGGAAATGAACCCTATAACTGTTATAAGAATGTAGACTGGAAACAATGGGAAGATTGTTTAGACAAAGCTTCTTTTCCAAACCTTCGAATCTTTGAAGCTACACTTATACCAAGTAGTATTGAATGCTTAATAATTGAAAAATCAGATAAGAGCATTATTGAAATCGATATATGTTATTCAAGAGAATTTCAAGATTATCGGGCAAAAAATTTAAATTTAATTATTATAATATCAAAATATTGTCCAAATTTAAGAAGTTTAAATTTGGATATTGACCCCGGAAATCTTTGTGAAATCAATAGGATCTTTTCTAATTGCACAGTTTTAGAAAAATTATCCTTTAATATAAATGTTTCAACACTTTCCGACGATGGAGACTACTTATTAGAAATAATAAGTAATAAGTCTCCTTTATCCTTACGAGAATTCTCTGGGGATGATTGGAATTTCTCAAAAGATGGTTTAGAAGCATTTTTTAATTGTTGGAAATGTAAAAAAAGGAATCCTATTAAATTTACTCATCGTTATATGGATTTATGGCATGATGATCAAAAAAATGTGGTGTCAAAATATATGAAAGAAGGTGTAATTAAATTATAAAATTTTATTTTTCTTTTCTTTTTTTATAATATATTAATTTTCTTAAAGTATAAAATTATTTTTAATTATATAATTATTTTTTTTATTTAAATTTTCATATTAATAAATACAAAATTAAGTTTATAATAAATGATAAGCATAACAATGATGATAAGCACATAAATGGATGTCTACTGATTAATTTACACAGGTATATTACAATCCGGTAGTTTTTTATACTTAAGATCTTGAAACTGGGGACATTTTCCCAGTAAAAAATTCTAAATTTTTAAACTTGATAATTTTTGTTATAATTTTTTTTTTTTAATAATAAAATTTTAATACAGGATTTGATTTAGAATTAATTTCCTTTAAAAACGTTAATCTTTATTTTTTCCACATTTCGATTAAATTAATCCCGTCCCTATTTAGAAATTTCGCAGCTGACAATTATATTCTCCCTTTAATTGATTCTTCAAATGTATTTTTAAATACATTTATATCACAGTATATTGATATATGCGAATGCGACAGACACATTTTATTAAATTAAAGATGTTGCCAAGTATTCAATTCCTGACATTTTTATCAATTTTTAATTTTTTATTGGAAACAAAAGCGTTTCAGAGTTAATTTTCTAAAATACAATTAGGTGCTTATATATGAGTCCTTCATCAATAAACGAATGATAAGATTTATCCAGAAAATTGGATAATCATTTTGTCCAATAACTATTAAGAAACAATAATTTAAAATTTAATTTTTATCGATCTGATCGATAATAAATGACATGACTATTTTGTATGAAATAAATCTTATTCAATTGAATGTTGGAATTAAAGCATAATCTTGACGTAAAATAATATTACCTTTTTCGCGTTTTAACAGTCGATGGAAAGCGAATAGACGAATAAATAAGTAGCAAAAAATTTTACAATGAATTTTCAAAATCTTTAGTAGGTTAATTAATTTTGCTTGTTTCTAACAGTTTAAAAAAAAAGAATATTACACATTTAGAAACTCTGGCGTTTCAGAATTGGTCATTATGTCATTTTTTTGTTTTTTTTTTAATAATAAGTATTAATTAACCAACGATATGTATTTTAATGTGCATGAGTGCATATAGGTAAATCAGGATAAATTGAAAATTGACTTTGTAAATTGCAAGTCAATTGCCCAATAATATAATCACATGTGCCTTAGCTTACATAAATAAATCTATATATCATATAACTATTGTAGCGAAGGACTTTCTACTACTTTTCTACTATTAGCGATTTGATTGTCAGATTACTTCCATCCACTTGCGTCGCCTCAGTTTCCTTATTTTTGATATGATGTATCACTAATAACAAAAATGCCTTTTTTTTTGTAACACTGATATTCTGATAATCTTTTTTAAAAAAAATTTAAAAAAAAATTTAAATCGTTGTATTCCACTTAATCTAGTTTCTTCTCTTTCAACCTCAATTTTTTATACGCTCAAGTCCGTTAAACTAAAGTGTTTGAAAAGAATATCATCAAGAGAAAGTATACGGAAAATTGCTACAAATGACAAGTCAGCCGCAAATTCCTTCTTCCCAAGGTCTATTACTGTTATACTGTCAAATGAAACTAAAATACTGCAGGTAAAGAGGTGTACTCGGGCTTCACTTTATATAAAATACCTGTTAATGTTTCCAATACCCTATTTATAACATTCCGCATAATAATATTTCAGCTCAATTCCTTTTGCAGTTTCGGAATCGGCCTTAGAAGTTTCAGATCCACCCGTATGTACCGCATGAATCTTAGCAACGGGTTGGTTTAATAATCGAAGTTTATTCAAATTTAATTTATCCACTTCTTCCCATGTTGCTAGAACATTTGATGGCATCTGAAGAAGTTTTTATATCTGATTCAGAAATATTTTCTGGATTCGCGTCATTAATAATTCCCAGTCGGATCATGTAGACTTTCATCACGTAAGTGATATGAAAGATTTCTGAATTGTTGTTGTTTATCCGAGTAACCTGTTTGTCTTTGCATAGCCTCAAGTTTATAAATTTCTTGAAATTGACTATAGGCACTACGACCTCAGATAAATGATCTGATTTTCGAGAGTCCTGAGAATACATGAGAACACCACATATCGGAGGAAGCTGCCCAAAGTCACCAACAAGAATTATGGATTGGCAACCAAAGGGAATATTGTAGTGATCGGGAAATGCTTGCCGCAGTCGTAAAGCAAGAAACGGCGTCCTATCATACTCATTTCATCGATTATAAAATATATATATTTTAGTTTTCTTTGAAGTTTCTTCAAAAATTCACCTTCAAGTTCAACATTTACCCCGCATATTGGAACAGAAAGTGATGAATGTATAGTGCTGCCTTCGATGTTAAAAGCCGCAACACCTGTTGGAGCAACTACCATATTGTTCTCATGTAAGTTATGTTCCTTTGCGATCTCATGTAACCTTCCTCGAAAGCATTAATAAGGTAAAATTTACCGGTTCCAGCAGTACCCATGATAATAATTCGTAAAGGTTCTATGGATTGATTTGTTATTTTGCCAATACAATGTGATTCTACACTTTCACGTATTAACCTTTGTTTCACATTTAGAGTTCTAATGTCGATACTAGCTGAATTATTTCCAACTTGAGTTACCAATTGCTTGCTGGATGAAGCTTTCTGCCTCTTCAATTTCAGGATATCGTAGCAAACTTTCGTCAACGTAGCTATTACTAGAGCTTGGAACGGCGGCTAAGATATCTATCATATGATTATTAGAAAAAGTACAACCTTTCAGGAATTTGAAGTAAAGTCGTGATTTCTATCAATATCACGGGCACTAAAGTCATCTAAGCTACGCGTCTGTCTATTTGACATCATTTCAGCCAATAACATCCAGTCAGTTCGAAGTTCATACGTTTCCTGTGGTGTGTCGTCTTCTTCATCAGAATCGTTGATACCATCAACTTCTATATCATCCACAGCAGGTTCATTAGGATCATCATTAATTTCTACAAGATGTTAATTATATAAAATATAAATCAATCATGAAAGAGTGTGATTCTCTGTGAGGCTAAGTAGGTCTCTATAACGAACATGTAAGAGGACTTTTATACGACAAAATTCCAGGACCATTTCGAATGGGAGATGGAGTTGCCTTTTACTAATTTATATTGCTGATCCTATTTGAACAATGAAAGTTCCTCAAGTTCGGCAGGTCTATTACAATATCTTTGTAGAGGTGAGGGATCTGTTTTCATAATTCCATTGTTCTCATTATTTGGATCATTTTCATTACTATCACGAAGCTGTCGATTCGCTTCTTAGTTAAGTTTTAGACTAACAAAATTTCGGCTACTATGATAGAGCGGTAATTGAAGAAGATGACAAGTTTCTTGCACCGAAAAATCACGTTCTCCGACTGTGCGAATGAGCAACTATTGGAATGCTTTAACAGCTGGATCATTGGGTTATCATTACGAAGAGCTTTGTCCAACACTTCTGAGAAGGCTAAGGACCCTAAGGACCGTCGTTTTGCTTTACTAGCATACTTCAAAACATACTGTAAAGCAGCATGCGTGGTAAGGATGGGCTTCAAATCAACATTTGCCCTTCATCCCTGTAATTGAATGCGATCATGTGGATTTATAAGTGGATCATTTCTGGCAGTTTTTAGTTCTAGGTGATCATTATTATCGATCAATTCAGCGTAGTCATGCATATCATCATTAAGGTCTTAGAGCGTTTTTGGAATGGGTGGTGATCAGGAGGAGGTGCGGGATTGATTGTTGTAACTAAAGAATCCAAGCAATGTACTACTTTTTCCATTATTTCATCATTATTTTTCATCTTTTCCTAATCAATTTCTGGTGCTCCTTTGTGATGTTGCCACTCAAACCTTCACCATACCGTAATACTTTGTCTGCTATGAGTATCGTCTTGCATTAAATCCAATATTTCGGCTACTGCCCTTCCTCTAAATTTTGTCGAACAAATACGCGACCTTCTGATAATGTTCTCCGTCTCATTAATGAATTTAGGGCAAAGTAACGCCACCGTCGATGACGAGCAAATCGACCATCATTATAGACTAAAAGATGTTTAAAGTATTCCGTCGGTTTTATTTCTTTCATTAAGGTCCGTGACTCTCCAAGGATAAAATGTAGGAAATGCTCTTGCTATATATCCACGAGTATGAAACTCATCAACCGGAGAAACTTCGTTATGCAGCCAATCAATTCTCTCATGATTATGTTGCGCTCAATTGAGAATTTCATTAATTGCCCTGTCTTCATTAAGTCCGGTGGGTAATGAAGGAACAAATGTTTGTGAGTTGAAAGAATTTTCCTCATGTCTTCATCGTCAGGTTCTTTTTCAGAACTATTAGTTCTATCATCCGAAGTTTTCCGCAATCGAACCATTTTCGGGAAAAGTTTGTAATATTTCATCATCAATATCGATATCACGATAGAATTTATTATTTGCCTTCAGCCAATGAAGAGCTCGCATTACTTTTCCCCGACGAACATGAAAATCCCGAAAATTGGATCCACCTTCAGAATGACGCCGATAGATCATGTAGAAGTCGTGCCGCGAACTCTTGCACATCTTGTGGAAAATTAATAGTATTTCACGATATGCATACTGTCCTCCAAGAAGGATGTATACCGAAATGACAGGAATACTTGCGCGATCAGCATTTCTTCTACATCAGTTAAGTTTTAGAAAATAACAGTATTTAGTTATATATTTAGAATTTAGAAATATACTAATTAATACCTACCTGGATCCATATTGTTTTAGGATCATTCTCAAACATACATAAGGGAATCACCCATTGCACGTTTCACAGATTATTTTTGAGATTGTTCATTATGTTGCGAAATTGGCGCAGAAGCTTCCGATCAGCAGGCATATTTTTGACGCATACTTGACTTCTTTTGTGAAAGCCTTGCTGCAATTTGATTTGGAGTTTCTTTTGCTATAAGCGAATATTTCTTACGCGCAAGAGCGCGCCGAGCCTCTTCTTCAACTACCGAATGTGCTTCACGCTCCTCGTCGGTCTCTTCATTCACTTTGCGCTTCCTTTCTCACGTGCTAAGCGTTCCTCACGCTCCTCATTAGTCTCTTCATCAATTTTCCGTCTTCTCCTTTCCCGATAATGTGCCAAATGAGCTTCTTCCATATCAATTAACATATTCTCTCTATTCTCTTTATTCTTGAGATGATTTGGAAAAGGAGTTATGCGTACACAATTATTGTATATTCTCATTAAAGTGATCTTATCATATTGTAATCCGATGTAATACAAGGTTTTGGAAATGCTTACAATTTGGCTCGTGAATAAAGAAAAAAAAATTTGATTAAGTCGCCAATTATAATTATACATATTATCGTTTTAATTAAGGGGCGTTCCTTTTCGACTATAGCTTTTTTCGGAAAAAACAATGCGAGTTACATATAGATTTTACTATTTTAATGCACGTTGCAAATATATTGTTGTTCATTAGGAGACGTTCTTTTTCCTTATAACGTGTATTTTATGTTACATAATTTATCATCCGCGTCACATTTAAAACAAATTAAAAAATAATATTTGTATTAACCGGTTTTAATATTCCATAATTAAAAGTTAATTTTGTCCGAAGCTTTAGGACATTTACGGTTAGACTCTCTTCATGCCTGTCCACACGCGTAATCCACCAATCATTTCTATTGTCGTGCCAACACGTTTTACTCCTTTTTAGTATCCGCTCCTACCTTCGCCGTGTTACACTCCGTGTACGTTCTGCAATGCAAAAATTATCTTTTTGACCCTGTACGACATCCTTTTTTACCCTCCTATATGTAATACAGTATATGCGGGTCAAAAAGGTAATTTTTGCTATACTACCTATATCCCTTAAATATTACTCTTATTATCTTGACATACGTTTATAATTTCTAATTCTTTTATTTAATAATTTCAAAACTCCACATTACATGAATTCATACAAGAAAAAATCTTATTTTATTTGATGAAATAGAAATTGAATAAATAACGCGACGAACTTTAACGGTTTTCCGTTTTTCTAGTGTATATTTCTTTAGGGGGATCCGTCCAAAATCCCGAATGCCGAAATCAAAAATAGCATCACGTGATATAAAGGTCAAAAAAAGATTTTGTCACACTACAATCCGGAAAAACTCCATATATTTATCACACAGAAAGTCGATGAACGAATAATTTTTTCTCCTTATATTTTTTAAACCAACTTCTGCCCTGATATAGCAAAAAAAAAATGGCATATAAACTTCCAGCGGATTGTTTAAATGAAATTTTTGAAAATTTGGAGCAAAATAAACCCGCTTTACATTCGTGTTTATTAGTTAATCGCCTTTGGTGTAGAACTTCCGTTAGAATTTTATGGAGGAATGTTTTGAACTTTAATAGTTCTGATATTTCTCGTCAATCCAAAGTGGAATCATCAATCCTTCACATGTTAATTGCATGTCTTCCTAATAAATCAAAAAAACTCTTATCTGAAAATAGAATTGTTTCATTTTCCACATTCACACCACCACTATTTAACTATGCAGCATATTGCAAAGTCTTGCCAATTTGTAGAATTATTAAAATAGTTGAAAATGTTTATATTAATCAATTTGGAAAATTACTAGTACTAGATAAAATTTTCCAAATGTTTACAAGCCAAATTTCATCTTTAAAAAAATTGATTTATCCTTATTATAATAAAAAATATCAAGATAAATATGAAATCAAATTTTCTCTTGCTGAGTTCCCCGGGGCAAGAGAACTTTCAGAATTATGCTGCGGTTCAGATATTTCTCCTAATTTTTTCCGTTTTCCTCTCACTGAGTTCCCTGGGGCAAGAAAACTTTCAGAATTACGCTGCGGTTCAAATATTCCCTCTGAATTTTTTCAACAACTTTCACAAATAAGTCATAATTTACGAACAATTTTTATAGATTTTAATGGTCTAAAAGGCCTAGAAGGATTAGAAGAATTAATTTCTAAACAGAAAAATTTAAAAAATTTAGCTATGTCAACTTTTGACGTGAGTTGGGAAAATGTTGTACCCGCCTTAAAAAGTCAATCTAATACAATAACAAAATTACATCTTTATAGTAATAATATTTGTTTACCATTATCATTTGTTAGTTTTTTCATAAATTTACAAGAAGTTATTTTTTCATTTCCACCCGATGATGGTGTTGATAATGACTTTATTGAGAATTTTGTTAAGATAGAAGCCTCTCATTTTCCCAGATTACAAGTATTAAAAATACCTTTTCAGCGTCCAAAACCTGAGAGTTTAATAAAATTCTTAAAAAATAATGGGAAAACCCTTAAAAAGCTTTTTATATGTGAACTTGAGAGTGCAGCAATTTCATCTATTGCTAATTTTTGTCTAAATCTTCAAAGTCTTTTTGTAATTTTTAAAAGTAATGAATTACATTTATTACAAGCAATATTTATTAGATGTCAATACTTGGAAAGCATTAAAATTTGGTGTGGGGTAGAATATTTAAACGAAACAGAAGTATTAGAAATTGTTGCAAATCATTCACCAAATAGTTTTCATGAATTAAAAATATATAATGCTGATTCAGATTCAAATTTTGCATCTCCGGGAGATATTGAATTTGTATCTCCGGAAGAATTAGAATATGCATCTCCAGGACATTTTGAAATTGTATCTCCAGAAGATTTAGAATCGGAAGATTTAGAATTTGTATCTCCGGAAGATTTAGAATCTTCGAAATATTTAAAATTTGTATCTCCGAAAGATTTAGAATCATTTTTCATAAGCTGGGAAAATAGAGTACCAAAAAAATTACTTTCTTTAATAATCCTTAAGAAAGATGAAAATAAATTATTAGATGAAGAAAGTATGAAAATAGCTAAAAAATATGAAAATTTAGGTGTTATTAAATTTTGGACTAAATTGTACGATGACGACGAAGTAGAAGAAGTATTTGAATATTTTTAAAATATTTATTACGTTTGTCTCTGTTATAGAATACGAGAGTAACTAACAAGATTGGATTTTTAAAATTAGGATTTGAAGGAGGCTCTTTTAGAGAAATAAGGATATGGTTTTTTCAAATTAGTATTGAATGAATCTTTATTTTATATTTTATAATACAATATGCTAATATCTTTATTTTATATTTTATCATACAATATGTTATTATTATATAAGCAATTTATTTTATAATAAATATTTTTTCGATAATTCGATCTGTATTTAAGTTGAACTTTTAATTTTTAACACAGTCTCAAATCTGAATGATCAAGCGAGCCCTTTTGGGTGTGAAATTCATTGGGTAAATCTAATTGATAAATTATAGTTCACCTGTGGTCAACAGTTGGTGAAATGGTGAAAGAGAAATTAACAATATTTTTTGTTCTTTACTAACTGCTTTAATCAACACTTGGTTAATTTCTAGACAGCGTTCACTCGGTTTTTACACAAAAAAAAAAAATTGCTACTATTAAAAATAACATTATTTTAGGTAGTAATGATTCTTTCCTGTAGTAACTTTTTGTTTTTTTGGCTACTTTTTGTTAGGAAGAAGAAAATTCGATTCTTATTATCATGCCAAACACGAAATTTAGCAAGTACCGAGGTACACAACTACAAAATATTAAGGATCAATATATAAAACCAGAATGGT